TTTATTGTAGAATGTGTGGTTAAAAATAAGAAAGAGAAAAGTGCATTCTTTTAAAATCGAGCCCGAACTGGTGCTTCATTGGAGTAATTTAAACATCCATACTCTTATCTTTGATTTCATGCCAGTTATATAAACATCCCCCAAATGCTTCAATTATGTGTTCTGGTATTTGATGTCTGAAATAGACATGGTGTTCTCAAAGTTCTAGCTGTCCACATCTGACTTTTTTTAAAGTAATCCTCTTGAGCAATGTAGTCCTATTCTGTCTTTACATGTGGAGGTTCTCTAGAACACAAGGACTAAAAGATTTTGGGGCTGATCTCTTTACTGTTTTTTTGGCCGTTTTCTGTTTTCGATTTTTCAAAACGATGAAAACGCGCTCTCTTTCCTATTTTTGAAAATGAGTTTTTCAAAAAAAAAAAAAAAAAAAAAAAAAAAGGGTTTAAAAAAAAAAAAACTTTGTTAAAAATACAGTTCCAGAAAATAAGAGGGGTATCTCCTTTTTTTTTTTTTAAAAAAAAATTTTTTAAAAAAAAAAAAAAAAAAAAAAAAAAAGGGTTCTAAAAAATTAAAATGTCTAAAATGACGTTTTGAGCCTTTTGCAGCCAAAAAAGGAAAATGGATGAAAACATGGGAAAGAGGCCCAAATTAAAAACAACTATCTCTTTCTTTCTACTCTTGGTTTGCTCAGATTGAAGAATCTCAAAAGCTCCATTTGAATCTCCTATCCTCTTCCTTGAGTTTCAGCTTAATACAATCTTCAAATCTAGGTATGTCTTTCTTGCTTTCCAGGTGGTATACCGAGCATGTTTTCTTGTTTTGCCCTCCTTTTTCCTTCAATTTATAGTTTTGTTACCCTTCCCCAATTCGTTGTTTGATCGGCGCTAATCAGTAAGCAATCTCCCTATTCTTGTTGTAATCTTTATTTTTTTATTATTTCGTCTTTTTCAGTTAGATGCATAAAATGGGAAATTAAAATTTTTTTTAATTGTTTCTCCATTTTTTATTTGTTTGCGCATTTTTAAAGAAGTTGTTTTTAATTACAGACAACAGAAAAAAATTGGAATTGATTATCTTCATGGGTATGTTATGTCTTATGTTAATCTGACTTCCATTATATGATTGCATCTATTTATTTGTGATATAAGAAACGTGGGTTCTCTTTGTTTAGATCCAAAAGCTTGAAAATTGGTAAAGAAAAAGATGCTTGCAATCTTTTGCTATGATGTGAGCCGTGTTTGATTAGGGGCTCTTGAATAGGTCAGACTTATGGAGCTTCTTTTATAGTCACTTGTGTGTATATGCCTAACTGATTTTCATGATTTTGGGTTTTTGGAGTATAGGCTGATTTATTATTAGGTCTTTGATTCAGTGTATGAGTCATACACTTTCATTTAGTGTATAAGTCATACGCTTCACTTGTCAGTGTATAATCACTTACTTCTGCAGAAGGTATTGATTAGAACTTGGATATTTATATCTCCTTAAAGAGGTAAAGTGAGCAAAAAAAACCAGGATAGGCCGCACATTTTTATTCTGTTTAATCAAGAGAACACCCAATGAGTAGTTTCAATCAGTAAGAGGAAGTCCAACTCAAGAATGAATTATCCAATCATACTTCTGTGGTGATTAACTGATTATAACAAGTTCTGGCAACTTAAAGACAAAAATAGTGCGCTCTTCATAAACTAACCGGCCAAAATTCCTTTTGTTAGAAATAAGGTAGATTTCTATAGAAGAATGATAACCTGACAGCCAAGAATGATCGCATCTTCTTCCAATAAGCGTCAGACAACTCGTAGGGTTGAGAATTTCTCTGCCTCAATGTAACGTCTTTTTCTCTGCTGTGCACCCACTCCATTATGTGTTACAAAAGTGAATATAATATGCTTGCTAGGACTAACCTTAATAAAATTTGACTCCAAGATTCCATCTTTCCACAGATTCAGTTAAACAAAATTGTTAAACTACTGAGTGTCTATACTTTCTTACAAGTGAGGAAAACTTTCAAAAGAAACTCAGATGCTTGCTGAGCCCAAAATATCAACTTCCCATCTCCAGGATACATTACATAGTTAACTAATGAGCACACACAATGTGCCCTTAGGAGCCAATATATAGTGCATTTATAACCCCCACTTTGCTTACTTTGATCGTAGCCTAAGATAGTTTTGATAGAATTGGACATTTCCATTCCCTCAACCTATAGATAGAATAGACCTAATATCCAGGCAAGCAGATGAAACTATGAAAGTTGCATTCACTCTATCTAGGACAAGTTCACTGTGCTTCTCTTAGTGGACAGAAAAAAGTCCAGCAGTTATTGACAAATTCCCCATGCTAGACCAGTCCACTAATATCTTTATTCCAAGGATAAGAAAATTAATAATCTGGACTGCATGAAGTTGCTCGAAAATAATAATTGAAAGAAAGCTCTAAAGAAGACAACCACTCAACGTTCAGTTCACTAGTAGCAACACATGGGCAGTGTTCCTTGTAAGATCTTTTCTAAATTCCAAGTCCCTTCTCGCCATTTAAAGAATTAATGAGAGAGACCAAAACTGAGAACTTTAGTTTGTGACTTGATGCATGTCCCACTACCTACCTCTGTGCTCATGATAGCAAGTTCTCGAGTCACCCGAAACCAGTATCTTTGCACCCGAAAAAAGCACTTATTTAGGTCATGTACAACAGGCCATGCTCTACTTTCAATTAACCATAAAAAGCATTTATAAAGAAGCCAAAGATGTTAAACATCAAAAATGGTAGATTTTTGTTCCTTTTACCCTTTTCTTCCCGGGGGTTTCAAAAAGCTATAATACTAATTGTAAATTTCTGTAACACCAGATAACCAGCAGAAAAATATGTTGTTTAAGATTCTAATGTGTTTTTTAGTTTGCGATGGGACTTTTGTCATTCACTTTGTAAGGAAATATGTGACTATAATTAAATACATTAATATGTCCTCAAATCGCGTACGGGAGGTCTTATATATTTCCTGATAATTTGATGTATATCAATATAGGTTCAACATGGGTGGTCACAGAGTTAGGAAAAAGGAACCAATGTCATGGTCGGACGAGAATTAACACGCTTTTATCAATATTCTTTACGAGAAACTGAAATCAAATGCATTGCAATGTTCTACGTTCACGAAAGACGAATGGTGTAGGATCAATGAACCAATGATAGCTTCAACAAAAATGGATTATGGCATAGATAGATTAAAGGGAAAGTGGAATCGCTTGCATAAGATTCATCGCATGTTCTCTGAACTTTTGGGACATACAGGTGTTACATGGAATCCAACTACCAACAAAGTTAATGCTACAGAAGAAGTTTGGCAACACTTTTATATGGTACATATACTTATTAAAGAATATTTTCGTTATTAGTTTTTATCTTATCAATTTTTCATTTTTCATTTTTTTTTTTTTTTTTTGTTGAACACTTTGACAATGTGGCTTCTTCTTTTCAATGGTAGATTAACAAGTTGGATTACAAGATGTTCAAGAGGGAAGGATGTAAGCACTACCACACTCTTATGGAGATATTTAGCGGGACTACAGGTACTGGAGGATTAGTCAATTTAGCTTCCAAACACATTAGAGGAAGAAAGGCAGCTAGAAAATGATTTTTTGAATAGGGGAGTGCATGTACGTGTGGAAAATGATGATTAAGTTGATGTGGTTTCAAATAATCGTCGACGTAACAAAATTGGTACAACAGGTGAACGTCGACGTAAGGAACCTAAGATCAGTAAAAGTGATAAACTCGAGGCCTGCATGGCACAGTGTTCATCTACATTTAGCTTGAGGAATGAAGAAACTGAACTTAGAACACTTTACCTAAAAAAAAAAAAAAGCTTGCAAAGATCCAAAGAAAATCAAGCAATCAATTGGATGGTGAAGTTAATAGTCCAAATCCTTATTCAAATGTTATTTGCTTGGACATCTTAAACAATATGGAAGAGGTGTCTAATGAGGTTTATATGAAAGCAATAAAGGCTTTTAAGGATCCTGATTTCAAGGTGTCATTTGTGAAGATGCCAGAAGCAAGGAGAAGACCTAACTTGGAACTTTTGATGTGACTGTTGTTTTAACTTCTCTACTATCGTGTTGTTTTAATTTGTGATGTTGAAAATTGAAGTACTGTGTTATTTTCAAAGTTTGAAGTACTTTTTTTTCCTATTTTGTGGTGATGCTATACTGTTTTCAGTTACGAACATAGTGATGTTGGTTGGAGAACTGATGTTAATTTTTATTTAGTTTCTAAATGCTTGATTGCTTGTTTTATTCAGAAGAATGTTGGTTGGTATGACTTATAATAATTATTTTGGTTATATTTTGTTCGTGGTATGGTCAGTGAATCAAATGTGGATAATGTGAGTACCGATGATTCCATTGATTAAGATTAGAGTGATGATGATTTGTTATATATGGATGATTTTGACGCAAATTTTGGAGATTTAATGATACTTAATTGCTTTGTTGCTAACAAAGGAAGTATCATTGGCAGGAGACCTTATAGAACATCATTGCTTACAGGGAAAATGTACATGTTAGAAATTTTGAATTGACATTCGGAATTTGCTATCATAATTTTCGTATGCAGAAACACGTTTTCTTGAATTTCTGTGATATTTTGAAAGAGAAGGGTTGCTGAAAGATGGGGAAAAAAGTGAGCGTCGAGGAGGGTATTGCTATGTTTTTTGATGATTGTAGGGTACACTACACGATACAGTGTTATTGGTGATAGATTTCAGCATTCCAACAACATTATACACAAATGGTTTAAACGAGTTGTAAGGGCTGTTTGTTCATTTGGCACTGAAATAATCCATCCGACAAATCAAAACATTGTGCATGAGCGGATTTTGTGCAAATATCCTTTCTTTAAGGATTGTATAGGCGCAATAGGTGGAACACACGTTGCAGCTTGGGCTCCTACATCGAGACAAACATCTTTTCGGAGAAGGAAAACTAATGTAACACAATGTGATGTTGACATGTGATTTTGATACAAAAATCACATTTGTGTATTCTGTTTGGGAAGCTAATGCTAATGATTCACGAGTATTCGTTGACGCAGTCACAAGAAGCTCAAACAACTTTCCAATGCTACGAGGAAGTATATTTTTATACTTCAAATAATTATTGCAAATATATTTACAGTGTTACACTATGTAAGTCTTTTTTTATTTTGTAGATCAATTTTACCTTGTTGATTCTGAATATCCAAACATGTTTGGATTTGTTGCCCCTTATCGAGGTCAAAGATATCATTTGCACAACTATGTTGGACGGGGAAGACTATGTGGGAAGGAAGAATTGTTCAACTATAGACACTCCTCGCGCTGTAATATTATTGAATGTTGTATTAGAGTTTTAAAGGCAAGATTTCCTATTTTGAAGTTGATTACTAATTATTCACTTAGTAGGCAAAGGCAAATCCCTACTTCATGTTACTTAACAAACAACTTCATTCATCAGGAGCACGCTTTAGATAAGTTGTTCGTAGAGTATTCAGAGGAGAATATGGTGTTTTAAGACATGCCGGAGTCAAGTGAAGATCAAGAAGTCATATATTTTGACGCTAGTGAAACAGCTCAAATGGGACAAGTCAGGGATCAAATTGCTATACAAATGTGGAATGACTACTCAAGACATCGTACATGATTTAGTGGATATACTTTATATTTTGACTAGTGTATGACACATAAACTTCTAATAGTATATATTCAACTATGTTGCCAAATTTAATTTAGGTTGTGTTTTTTGTATCTGTCAAAAAATATTTCAAGATTCACCAACTTCATATTTTATGTGTTATTTAATAATATATTGACATTAAACTATTAAAAATTATTGAATAATCATATTTCTTGAATAAAATATTATAAAAAAAATACTCTCAAAATTTGAAAGTAAAGTATTTTTCAGTTTTATGTTTTGAAAAACAGTTTTTCGAAATGACAAAGAGAATGTATTTTCAGTAATTTGAAAATAGGCAGTCAAAACACAAAACCCAAAATGAATTCAAAACTCAAAACTACAAAGTTGAAAGACAGAGAGAATAGCCCCTTATCCTTCACAAGTTAGATTTTTTAGGGTCCGTTCATTGCCGAATGAGACAGATAACTTGATACAAGAGCTTTTTGGTTGAGTCAAAACTGGTTTCGTTGTAATGCTTTTTACTTTTAGTGTACTGTCATTTTATGCACTCGTATTCTTTTTTAGGCATTTCAGAAGATTTTTTAAAGGATCGTGGTCTTCTTAGAAGTCGAGCACCTCTTTACAAACCTTTGCAGCTTATTTAACATTTATGGATGCTGGAATCAGTGGATGCTTTCCCATGTTCAGTTCATTCAAATATTGGCACCGACTATATTTGCATTGCAATATTCTTTCATGGTTTTACATAAAGAACTTGATTTTTTTCATAGTACAGTTGCATTGATGGCTTCTACTATTATTTTTTTGACTTAAAGGGTTCAGTATATCAGCTGCTCGAAAGGTTGCCGTTGCAAAGGAAAATGTCAAAACAGACCATTTCATACAGAAAAAAAGATTCAAATTGTCAAGGTAAAAGTGATGCGATTTTCGTTTTCCATAATATCCTTTGTCCTTTTGTGCTTATGGATTTTAATTTTTTAACCATTCCATTTTCCTTTCCATCTACATTAATACTGGATTTTGCTTACTAGACTGAACATTGTGGTTGGGGTGGTGGCAGCTGAGTCTATCAGTAAAGGTGATAATAGTAAAAACTTATAATAGTTTAAAATCCATAAGCTGATGCACTGAGGCCAATTGATGCAAGCTGACAGTTATATTAGTCATCTTTTCCTACTCTATGGAACTCTTAGTCTTTACCCATTAATGCTAGATGACAGTTATAACAGTCACTTTTTCATTAGTCTTCCCAATGTTCAACATCATATTGACCAATACTGAACATGGAAGATTTTGACTGTATCTGTAGTCAATTTTTCTTTTTTTTTTTTTTTTTTTTTTTTTTTTTTTTT